ATAGGCCCTAAATCCGAAGAGCCCCCGAACCCTAACCTAAACCCTCTAAACCCTAAACCCTAGACCCTAAACCCTAAAACCCAAGAGCCCCGAACAGCCAGAGCCAGGTGACCAGCATTGCAATGGTGCCTGTGCGCCCTGAGCTCTCTGTTTCGAGCCCGGCCAAACGAATCTAGCACATTCTATGCAGTGATAGAAATAGCTGTATAGTTATAGTAGATACGAAATGCGAATAGTGAATCCTAAGAATAACAAAATAAAAAACAATGACTAGAAATAGCAAGTAGTAACGAGCAATAAGTAGTAGATAACAGTAAACAGCAATAGTAACAAGAATAGTAGTTGTAATCATGCGTAGTTATATATATATATATAATCCCACACTCCCTTGGCTGAGGCAGGTCCTCTTCCTCACAACAACGCCGCACCCGCGTGCTTGGTGGTCTCCTGAGGCATGAATTTCCGGCTTCATCATGATAGTATAAGCCTAAGAAAGTATAAAACGCAATATGTTCATGTTCATTATAGGTACAGGTGGATCAGGGACTTAGCTTCAGAGCCTGCTTGCCTGCTGCGTGTTCAACTGTCAACATGTACTGTATGGGGGAGCATTCCTGCCTGGGCCTCGCGGAGAACCGGCAGCTTTGCCGCCGCGCTTCCCAAACAAGACTTAAAGCGTGCTCTGCTGAGTAGGCCCCTGGGATATGAAATATTTTCCCTAATGGCTTTAATAAGGGACCCAATATATTAATATTTTTCAAAGGGCTTTAGGTGCCAACCCAGTCTGTGTTGGAGCATGAGCCAATGAGGTCAGGATGAGGAAGTGGCGGATGCTGTGCTGATGGTCCGGGACTCGAAGAGCTGCTAATGCCTATTGCAAGGGCAAAGCATGTCTCACTGTTCTTCTTGCCGTGGCGAGAGAAGTCACCACGGCCGCAAGTTTCAGTGCTCAGCCATTTGGATCCAGTAATTTTGGAGGAGTGACGAGGCCCCCAATTCCTCAGTTGTGCAAACCGCAGCCATGACGCAACCTGTCAACCTCACCGATGGCACGAAGGAGATCGCAGGCGAGTGGTTCATCAAGAATGTGAAAGGGGGAGTGCAGCTGAAGATGGAAGGTGACGAGGTGCGTTCCGTCCAATCCTGCTTCGGTGGCCAGCCGGTGGTTGGGAAAGTGCGGAAGGGCTCCCATTTCGAGATGGACGTCCAGATGGGCGGTTTCCCCATGATCGCAAGAATGACTTCCCGGACGGACCAGCAGAAGTACCTGGAGTTCTCCAACGGTGGCCTTTGGTCTAAGAACCAGCCGGCTTTCGAGCCCTTGCCCGCACCAGCTGGGGTCAACGGCCATGTCAACGTCAACGGCCACGTCAACGGTGGGAAAGATGGTGTGCTTGGCATCCCCATGAGTGAGGTGAAGAAGCACAATACCAAGGACTCTGCGTGGGTTGTCCTCCACGGCTACATCTACGACCTCACCAAGTTCCTTGAGGACCACCCTGGAGGTGACCAAGTGGTTCTGGATTGGGCCGGCAAGGACGCAACGAAGTTTTGGTCTGCCATCCACAAGAAGGATTGGATCAAAGAGTACACGAAGCCGGAGTGGTGCCTTGGGCCAGTTGGCAAGGAGGCGCCCAACGAAGAGCTCAAGAAGGCCCAGGACGAGATCA